CTGGTTCGCCTGCCCTGAGCACCCTTTCGGCATCCCCGGGCGGTCAGTTGCGTTGGAGATGGAGGTGCCCAGGCTCTCTATAAGTAGGCGGGTTGTCGAGGCCGCTTCCTCCTCATCTAGGCGCGCCCTGAGCCCCGTGGTCCGCAGGAGGACGCGGATCTGGCTGTTTCCGAAGGGGGCGTGCGCATTGGGGGCCCGCTCCTCACCTTGGCCCCGTGCGCCTCTGATGTCGTTGGGCGTGTGGATGCCTGCTAGCTGCAGCCATCTGGTGGGGGCCTCGAACGGCCTGGCGCCCATGCCTCGTACTTGGGGCACTGGTCGAAGGAGGGGGGTGTAATGCGGTGCCAGGCACAGCCGCATGGCCCTGGATATCCAGCTTCCCGGTTCGAGGTGCGACCTGGCCTCTCTCAGGAGGCCCTCCGCTACGAGCTGCGCGTCAGCGCCGCTGTGGGAGCTGCGGTCGATGCAGTGTTGCCTGGTTCTTCCTGCGGCCTCATCGTCTCCCTGAGTGGCGTCCACGGCTCGGATGAGAGCGTCCAGCGTGTCCCCTCTGCGGTGCGACTGGGCGGAGGACCTGTCGCTGTTGTCGGGGTCCCCGCCGAGTATTTGCCTGATGTCTCCGTGCCGAAGGGTTGTGGTGCACTGCGTCCCTCCTTCGGCCAGGGGGGGGGGATGGCGACCTCCCACTCCCCCGACGCCTGCATTGCCGCTTCTGGCGCTCGCCCTGGCGAGTCGAGCCTGTGCCCCCCTTTCCACCGCGGCCCGGTCTCCTGTCAGGATTCCTTCCTGGAGATATCCGAAGGGGTCAAGCCAGCTCATAGCGCGCTCCTGGAGTTCTGGGTGGACGTATCCCCCTTGGAAGGGGGGCCTCGACCTCTCTTCCAGCCAGGTGCGAGGGGGTTGCCGCTTCAAGCCCGAGGCGGTGGTGTGCTCCCTGTAGGGTGGAGACGCCCATTGCGTTCCATCGCCTGGCTGCATGTGCCACTATGTGGGTGGGGATCCTGGCCGCCTCGAAGACGTGCTCTAGGGTGCTTCGCCCCCCTTCTGTGGCTGATTCCCAAATGAAGGGGGCCAGGGCCCTGCTCCAGGTCATGTTGTTCGGTATGCTGTCGCTTGCTCCTGCGCGCGGATCTCCGTGATTTCCTGTAGCAGGCGGCGTGCGCTGCCCTCTCTTTCTGGGGGCAGCTGGGCGCCCCCATTCAGCTGCTGCCTATCGACGGTTCGGTTTTCGGGGCCCTCTCTCTCGCGGCCTGCTGGTTGACTCCCCTGGATACAGGAGGGGCCCGCCCCTCGCGCCCTTGTGCGCAGCGCGATTGCGAGGCGCACTGCTGCGCCGCAGGGGCTGTCTGGTGAAAGGTGGTCGGCGATGAGTCCCCCTTCCCTTCTGGCGGAGGCAATGAGAGCGGCGCAGGCCACCTCTGTTGCCTCGGCGTCCGCGTCGCGCGCCCCGGGGGGGGGCCCGTCTGCTGAGGTGGCGCCGAGGGCTTGGTCCAGGAAGTTTCCTCCTATTTCGGTTCGGAGCCAGTCGGCGTCTTCTGCGGGGAAGTTGCCAAGACTCTGCCGGAACCTCATCCTCAGATCTTCCAGGCTGGTCCTTGCGCCTCCGGGGTCGGGGGGCTGGGCCGGCAACGCCGTGCGGGGGGGGGGGGGGGGGGGGGCGACGCTTCTAGGCACCCACTCGCGCAGAGGCCTGCCAGAGGAGATTTTCCTGATGCGATCCGGATTTGAATTGCGGCATCCAGGGCCCATCCCGGCGGGGCGCTGCAAAGTCTGGCGAGAGCGCTCACCGCGGCTCTGAGCACCCAGGCTCGGGTCCTCCCTGTCTGCGGTCGGGTGCCAGGATTCGCTCGTGGCCCCGCCGCAGGCGAGCGCCAGGTCCGCCCCGTGGCGCCATGCCGCGAGCAACCCCAAGATGAGCCAGGATGGGGAGTAGCTGGAGGTCTCTGGTAGGCGGTCTGGGGATCAAATGTGGCTGGCGATGGGGGCGCATCGCGCCCCCGCCCTGGCCAGCTGAAGATGAGCGGGGTGCCAGGCAAGTCGAGGGGGTGTCCTGGAGCTTCGGGGCTGCCGGAGTGGAACCCGTCCATAGCCAGACACCATGGGGAGGCAAGCCTGTGGCAGACAATGCACATGGGACCGTGGGGGCACCGTGCAAGCCAGTAGCCGCAGTACCCGCATCTGTCAGATGGGTGGAAGAAGTCCCCGAACCTTATCATGTGGGAGGTATTGTTCATGGGCCACGGCCCCTCTGGCGTGTCGCTGCCCTCGACGATGACTCCTGGGACGCCTGGGGATCGGGGCCCTGCGCCTGGGATGGCCGGGGCGGCCCAGCCGCCATATCCAGCCCCGCGCTGTTCGATGGGCAAGACGTCGCCCCCTGCCTCGGCCCACTGCTCTCTATTGACCGCCCAATTTCTGACCTCCCCGTGGTCTGGAAAGTGGACCCGGATGCGGCGGTGCTCGTGGGTGAGGTAGCGGCATAGCTTGGCCCTTTGGTCGGGGCCGGGCCCAGCGTCGCTCGCATCGGGGGCCGCGTCGCGCCGCCACCTCGAGAGCCCTAGTAGGGGCGCCGGAAAGAAGCCTTCGGATGGGTCCCAAACCCCGATGTCCGCGCAGAGGGAGGCAAAGTGCAGGGCGTCGTATTCCAGTTGGGCAGCGATAAGCTCCGCCTCGGTTGGGCCATCGCAGTCCAGGCTCTCCGCCTCGATGGCTGGGTCTTGTGTCGGGCTTGAGTGCCGGAAAGCCAGCGCCTGAACTGGGTCTGGACCCACCCCTCCCAGTCTCGCCTCGTGGTCGGAACCTGCGATGGACCATGCAAGCCAGGACAGGTCGAACCGGGCGAGGGCCGGGGCGCTGGCGCAGCGCTGCTGGGGGGTTCCTTGTTCCAGCTGGGCCGTCCGATTGGGCGCTGCCCTGAGAGGGCTAGGGGCGCCCCCAGCCAAGGGAGGCTCCGCGCGGATTCCAGCGTGCCAGGGGGGGTGGCGGAGCCAGCAGAAGCTTGCCAGGTTCTCGAGTCCCTGGCTCATCGCTTGACTGCGCGCCGTTCGCCTGGGGAGCTCTCCCCATGGGCCCCCCAGTGGTTCGTGGTGCGCCACGAGTGCTGCAAGGGTGCCCCCCTCTCATGGCGTCCCTTGGGTCGGCGACCCCTGGGGCCGGGAAGGGCGCATCGGCGTCGCGACTGCCGCGTCGTCGGGGGTGATAGTGGGGCCTGCGGGGCCCTAGGCCTAGGCCGTAGCTGGGAGGTCTGTGTTCGGGGTCATCCGTTTGCCCCTCCCAACTGCGCTGACTTGAGCCTGGCGGCGGTGGCGAGGGGGGGCCCGGAGGAGCGATCGGGCGCCCAAGGGCGACGGGGGCGGATCTGCCCTCGATCGCGTCGGGCCCCCCCAATCGCAGTGCGCGTCGCTATCGGGGGTGCTCCCGCTGGGCTCGCGAGCCTCAAGGATCCACTCCCAGTCAACCTTGTCCTGGGGCTGCCGTCCGCCTTCCGTCCCGATCCCGATCGGGTGGGTGTGTGGGGGGGGGGGGGGGCGCGGGGGAATCTCATGGTCGTCACCAAGGGCGTCTGCCTCGCCAGCACCTGCCGGGGGGGGGGGAGGTCAGGCGGGAGGCAGGAGTGGAGTGGGGCGGGGCGAGGGAAGGGTCGGGCGACGATTCCCCCATGCTGGTGCTACTCTGGTCAAACACGCCCCTGGGGTGGGCCCTCTCGCAGGCCCCGAGGACTCTCTGAGCGCCCACCCTGGGAGTTGGCGTGGACTGATCTTGGACAGGGCCGTCCGGTGGGTTGCGGCCAACAGCCGCAGCAGTCTGCATCTCGTGGTGATGGGGGGTGCAGCCAACAGCCGCAGTGTTCACATTTCCATCAGGAGGAGGAGGAGGAGGAGGAGGATTGGAGGCGCAACCAACAGCGGCTTTCACATTTGTATTGACAGAGGAGGGAGGTGCAGCCAACAGCCGCAATGTCACACGTGTAAGATCGGTACTTCCCGTCATCTGGCGGTCTCTCGGGGGAGAGACCCGCCACTGCGTGGGGCGGTACAGTCGCCTGTCCCCATGGTGGGTGGACAGCGCTATCCACTTCTGTGGGCTGTATAGCCTCGTCATGGCCCTCTCTAGGGTTCCCATCCACTACCGCCTCTCGATTCCCCCTGGGACGTCATCCTCAGCCTCTGGGAGTTGGATGGCACCCGCCACTGGTGTCTCGGACTCCTGGGCAGTCCCACGGCGGGGGGAGGAGGGAAGCGTGGGCGGGACGGGGATCGAGATGGGGTCCAGGGTGGGTCTGTGGGAGGTCTGGTCAGGACTCTCTCGCCCCTGAGCGTCCGTCCCCGTGTCCCTTTCGTTCACGTCTGGCCCGCCAGTCTCCCCTGCCTCAGCCGGCCTCTGCAGGGGCGGGTCGTGGGCATCTCTGGGGGACTGCTGTCTCGCCCCATCTCCCTCCGCGCTGGCGCCGTCTTCCGCTGGGCAGCGAACCATGGTGGGCGCCGCTGGAGCCAGCTCATGTTCTGCCCCGACTGCGGGAGGGGCCTGGTGTCTGTGAAGGGTCTGCGCCAGATTTGAATCTGGGGAGGGGCAGATCGGGACCAGTGGTTGGGTTCCCATACCATGCACTGAAAGATCTTCGCCCCCATCGACGCCACCCGATAGATCCTCCATGGGATTGCGTCCCCGGTCCAATCTGAGCCGAAGGCAGGAGCTGCGCCGCGAGCGGAGCAGCTGCAACTATGGCGGGCGCGCGCGGGGGGCCCGAGGGAACCCAGGGCCGCGGGCCCGCGGTACGGCGTACGGGCGCCCCCTTGAGCACTGGCCCGAGGGAACGAGGCCCGTGAGATGGCCTTGAGCCAAAAGGCTACGGAACTGGTAGGGATACGCGAAGCGTCAAGAATGAACTTCTCCGCCGACGGGGATGACTGCCCCAGGGCGGCTGGACATTTCATCCCCCTGGCACCGTAGGGGTATAAACTTTGCAGCCGCCCGGGGGGCAGGCGCCCCCGACGGCGGGCAATATTGTGTCATGCCTTTTGACCAAAGGCTACTCCAGCGAAAGGACACTCTTAGGCACAGCCGATGCCCTCCCTCCGTGGGCTCAGGTGATTGAGCAGGGACCGACCGTCCCGGCATTCCTATAGGCCAGCCACGAAGGTTCTTAGAACCCATAGATGTCCTCATAACAAAAACCACGTTCTTGGAACATAAGCCCGATGCGTTTTAACAAAACAGTCCCAGCCAAAAATATTCTAAGAGCATTTCGTGGAGACCACAAAAGGTTCTTAGAACATTATTTGGTAGGCCTATAAGCGAACCAGGTCGCTTCGCCACTGCTTGAGGTGAGGCGCGCCCAAGCGGGGTGCCGGGGGCTCGCCGCCGGTCACGAGCTCGGCCATGATCTGCCCCGTCAGCGGACCCCACAGGATGCCCCAGCAGTTGTGCCCACACGCCACGAAGGCGTTGTCGCCCACGGGGCCCAGCATGGGCCGCGCGTCGGGCGGGCAGGGCCGGATGCAGGCGTTCGCCTCCGGCGGCGCCCTCCGGCCGCTGCTGCTGCTCCTCCGACGTGCCCTGCTGCCCTCCTGCCCTCCTCGCCTCCTGCGATCCTCGACGCTTGCTTCCTTAGGACTCTTCCCTCCGCCACTGCCTCCTGCTCCCTGTTCCTTCTTCTTCCTCCTGCCACCTCCCTCCTCCCTCCCCCTCCCCCTACCACCTACCTCATCCCTCTTCGCTCCTCCTCGCTCCTCCTCCCCCCCGCTCACACTCTTTCTGACCCTGCTCCTGCTGCTCCTCCTGCTCCCGCTTCTGCTCCTGCTGCTGCTCCTCCTCCCGGGCCTTGGGGTCACGAGGGTAGGGTCGTCCCGTCGTCTCTCCCTCCTTCTCCTGAAGCTCATCAGGACCACCCCTCGCGGCAGAGGGGATACCACCTGTTGGGATGTGAAATCCTCGACCCGCTGACGAGGGAGAGTGAGGACAAGCTACTGATTTGTGCCAGCCGTGGGGATTCGCCATGGCTCATGGCTGCATTAAAGAACGGGGTGCGCTTCAGCCAGACTTGTAAGCCTGCCGAGGCCCCTGCCAGGACTTCCGTTCGGACCTGAAGGGCCCGCAAAGGGTTGCACCCTTGCGACTCGGATCGGCGGCGCCGTCTGGCTCCTGGTCTGGTCAGGGCACCCCTCTTGCATCCCAAGCGGAGTGGGCCCCGTGGCTCGTTGCCTGGAGCCAGGGCCTCACGAGGCCCTCCGCTCATGCTGCCGGTGCTGGGAGGCCTGTTGAGGACCGCCCGCGCTCCGCCCGCCCTCGCCCAGACCTCCAAGGATGGCGGGCGATGGTTGGTCTGCCCTGGCAGGAGGCGGCGGTGGAGCTGGGGGCATGGGCTGAGAACCGGGCGCACCTTCTGGTGGCGAATCGCCTTGCTCTGTCGGGTTGGAGCTGGCTGCTCCCCGCTACCGTACTTTCATACGCCTGGCAAGGCTCGCTGCCTCTTCCCCTTTGATTAGGTCGTTCCTGACTGAACTGGTCGCTGCGCTCCTCCTCCGCCTCCTCCTCCTCCTCTCCTCACCTCGCCCCTGCCTCTGGCTCCACGCCATCCGCGACCGAGATCTTGGACCTCAACGCTGCGGACGCGGCCTTGACCCGCTGCGGGTCTGGGAAGACCTCATCGGGCGCCAACGACCTGAGCTGGCTCTCGTCGAGGTACTTGGAGCCACCGCAACCACAGACGTACACAGAGCCGTCCACCCGCGGGTTCACCTCCAGGTGACACCCGAACTCGTCCTCGTCGCAGAAGAGCGCGCAAGGCTCCACGGGCTTGGGCACGCGGAACATCGGGGGCGCCCAAGAGGGAAACCGGGAAGAGGGGAGGCTGCGCATCATGGCCCAAGGCATTCGCTCGGACCGAGGGGGGGGGCCACGGGGAATATTGACATACAAAGAGGGGCATGACAACCTAGCAGATCTCATAGCCTCAGACCATGGTCCCCCCCTCGAATGATCGGGCACACGCGAACATGGCTCAGGGATCCGTGGATCTGGCGCGTGGGATCGGGGAAGATGAACCATGGCGCGTGTCGCCCGACTTGGCGACGGAGCGCGTTGATTTCGCATAGAATCGGAACCCGTCGGTGATCCGTGCTCCTCAATCATGTTTGTGCTTCATCGACACCAGTCATCGCCCCCCCTTGGCCGCCCCCGAGAACAGCAGGGAGGTGCTCTGGATCCCAGTCATGGCCACCTTGACCTCGGGCAGCCACCCCTCCAGCAGCACGGACCACGGACCCATGGCGAACACCACTGAACTGCACGACACCTCCCGCCCGGAACGGACGCGGAGGCGAGGGAGGGGAAGTTGATGCCTCCTCCTCCTCCTCCTCCTCGTTCATCTCTTCTCCCCAGGGGCAGGAACACCATACGCCATACAGACGTACACATCGTGCCGCAGGGAGGGGGAGAGGAAGGAGGGCAGGGGAGAGGGAATGTTGTCGTTACCCAACCTGCAGGCTAAGGCTGCTAGATCGTAAGAGAAGAGCTCCCGAACCGCCTCGCCTACCCTGTATACAGCGGCCGCCAGGTCCCAAAGGGCCTAGTGTTCCCTGGGGATCCCGCATCGCGTCATCGAGATCCCGCCTCGCGTCCTTCGACGGATGACGACTGCACACCGCGGCCGCCAAGCCCCGGGGAACGGGGGTAGGAGGGAGGAGGAGGCGGAGCCGGCATGTGATCGAATCCACGGGTCCTTCGAGCAGCGCGCTCCTATTCGACGGCCCAAACGGGGCCTTGGAATCAAGGCATGCTCCCCTTTAGTCGGCACCAGTGGGGACCATTGGCTGGTAACCAGAAAGCGCGCCCCCTTAACTAGTGGTGGTAGTGGTGGTCTAGTGGTGGTTCTAATCAGCTGTGGTCTGGTGGCTTTGTCGCGCCAGACTCTCTGGTCCGAGGCACCCTGCTCCCCCTGCGCCCCAGTGATGAAGACTTGCGCGCGAGGAGAGAAACGGGGTGGCATCAACACCACAGGCGTTTCCAAACATGTTGTCGCGAACAAATGCTCCGAGCAAGCGTACGTACTCTTTGAGGTGGTAGGCTGTCCCTGGTGCCAAGTTCGACGAGGCCCGCGGATCCCCTTGCGATGAATAACGAGGTCGAAGAGGACTGGCGGACTAAGTGCTGGGGATGTCTCGAGCGAGACGCTGGCTTCTGAAATTCCGATCGATAAAACAACGGGTAACATCAACATGTTCGTTTGTTGCGGATGTTTTTAAGCGAGACGCTTGTTTTGCAGGATGTGTTGAGGATGTCGAGCGATCCTATAGATTGATCCTCTCCTGGGGGCCACAATTCAGAGGATGTCTGCAACGAAATGCTTGCTTTCACGTGCCTAGATCGCCCCGGGGGGTAGCTAACATGGGTGTCCCCAGATGGAAGCACGTGTTTTCACGTGTCCAGGCCATCCAAGGGGGTATCCAATATGGTTGCTTCCAGGTGGAACCACGTGTTTTTTACGTGTCCACCCCAGCAGCGAGCGGCCGCCCTGGCCCACCTTTTGCCCACCTTTTCCACCCGTGCAGCGGTGGCCGCTGGCTTCGGCCACAACTTTGGCTGGCCGACGGCGCACCGCCCCGGCGTTGCCGCCGCGCCTGCGGGGCTTCCTGCAGGCGGGGCGCTCCTCCTCCCAACTCTTCTGTCCCCCCCCCCCCCCTGCCCGCTCTCCCTCCCTCCGCACGCCGCGATGGCGCCTGGGCTGCTGCCTGCAGCCGCCACGCGTTCGGGATCCTGGGCCTGGTGTTGCCGCCTGCTCCCCCACGCTGGCCCAGCATCTTCCTGGATGCATTCCCACCGGGATGCAAGCTGACTTGCCGCACCTGGTCCTGCGCCCCCCACCTGAGCGGCGCGCGGCCCGCCGGCCTTGCACTTCGTGCTCTACGTCGGCAGCCTGCTGCTCTGACTCGCAGTACCCACACTTGGGCCCCGCCTCAGCAGGTGCCCTGGCGCAGCAGCTGACTACGGCTGGCCGCGCCAACTCACGCAAGGAAGTGATCCGCCCGCCCCGGGTGGCCCTCGCCTCGCCCCCCCTCCCTCTGCGGCCGCCCTCTCTGTTCCGTTCGTCCCGCTCTCGCATGCTGGGCACTTCGCTGCAGCGGTGCCCCCGTTTAGTGAGATCATTCCGCCAGCGCAGACGACCTCTGCCTGGCCGCCGACGCAACCAATTTTTACGCGTCCAGGCCACACAGTGGGGTATTAAACATGGTGGCACCGAGCTGGAACCATATGTGTGCTCATGTGTCAAGGCCGCCCAGAAGGGGTATCTAGCATGGTTGCCCCGAGCTGGGACCATGTGTTTAACGTGTGCGGGCCAGAGCCCCCAGCGTGGGGACCCACCAGAGCCAAACAAGATCAATCAACCCATCGACACCACATACATAATAGTTTACACAATTTCTTCGGCTGGGTACGTTCCAGATTTCCCCTTCGAATATTGAACATGGTGTTCCCGAGCCGAAATCATGTGTTTTCATGTTTCCAGGCCACCCACAAAAGTACCTATCATTGTAGCCCCGAGCTACAACCACGTATTTCATGTTCCCACGCCACCAGGAAAAAAAAGGGTATCTAACATGGTGGTGGCCCCGAGCTGGAACTACGTAAGTGTTTTCACGTGTCCAAGCTATCCAGAGGGGTATGTCACATGGGGGCCCCGAGCTGGAACCGCGTGTTTTCACGCACCCAGGCTACCCAAGGGAGTATCTCACATGGTGGTCCCGAGCTGGAGTCGCGTGTTTTTACGTTTCCGAGCCACCCGGGGGGGGATCGTGCATGGTGGCGCCACGTGCTTGTTCGTGTCCAGGCAGCTCTTTGGGGGGAGGAGGTTCTCAAATGGTTGATCTTGCTTCTCGCTGGCACCGTGTGTTTTCATCTGTCTAGGCCAACTGTATCTAACATCTAACATGGTGGCCCCAAGCTGGAACTGCGTGGTTTCACGTGCGCAGGCCATCCAAGAGAGGTATCCATCATGGTGGTCCCGAACTGGAGCCACGTGTTTTCACATGCCCAGGCCACGCAAAGGGGTACCTAGCATGGTTGCCTCAAGCTGACGTGTGCGGGCCACCCAAGGGGGGCATCTAGCACGCGGTCGCCTGGGCGTCCCCAGCGTGGGCCCACAAGAGCCAGACAAAACCAATGAATATATCCCAGACGTGTCACAACCTGACACAGTTCTGAGCTTTGGAGGCTGGCGAGGCGGTGGATCCGTTTCCGCCCGAGTCCGCGAGTGTCGAGCCCGCTCTCGAGCTCGAGGGGGCTCGGGAGCAGGCCCGGCCCGCTTCGGGCGCGAGTGATCCTCGCCCCTATCATGATGTCCCGAGTGCAGTCAGCTCTGGGCGAACACTGCGCCCAGCCAGCTCGAGCTTGAAGCCCAGCTAAATTCGGTCAGGATTCGGATGCCAGGGAAGGTTTGATCCACGACGCAACTGAAGACAAAATTGTTCAGATTCGCTCCATTCGGTTCGTCCCGCTTCCGGGCTGAATCGGATCTTGAGCTCAAGCTGATCGAGCGTCCGCCGCGTTTCGACTGCGGCAAAGTCTGAATTATGCGTTCAGGCAACCTGATCTTCAGATCCAGATCAATTCGACTGGGGTTCTGACGCCACGGATGATCCACAATGCAATAGGGCACAGCACTTCAACGCGGGATGGCGCGCCTGTTTATCACAGCAGAGCACAACCCCTGGCACTGAACATCACCATCGCTACCCCGAGCACTGCAATTGCCCGTCGCCCAAATTAGATGTCTGGACCAATGTCTATGATTCACATTTCAATATCCCATTTTGGGTTCGTGGGTCGATCACATTTTTTCCCGAAAAGACGCGGGCCCCAGGTTCACGTTTAGTCGGCAACCTTGTCCCTGGTGCCGAGTTCCTGTAGGGCCGGCGGGGTAATGTGCGATCAATGACGTGGTCGCGCAGGGCCAGCGGGATAAAAATTGTGGATGCCCCGAACGAAACGCTGGCTTTTGATATTTCGATCGGTGCAGTGAACATTTCCGTTCGTTGCGGACGTCTTGAACGAAACGTTGGTTTGGCCAAACTTGTTGGGGGAAGCCGCGCAGGGCAGCGGCGCGCTTAGCGCCCCGCTGGTCCTTGTCGAGGGGTACCGCGGCAACGGGCCACGCCGAATGCCATTGGTGTCCTGCCCAATGAGAGTGCGTGCGTCGGGATGAGCGAGGAGTTCCTCCGGGGTGTCGTGTTGAAGCCTGGGGCCGTCCATTTCCACATTTCCAGCGCTGTCGATTTCTGCGGGCGGACGCCACCTGGCCGGCGCGCCTGCCGCCGTCTCTCCAGAAGAGCAGCGCTTTCAGCTGGCCCCGTCACCGCCATGCTCGGCCTTGGTATTGCCAAACCTGAGCCCCCCCCCGCCGCCCGGATGCCCTGCGCCGACAGACCGCTCACTAAACTTTCGGGCCCTGGCCAACGACGAGACGATCGCGCGCGTGGTCATGGCGGGCCACGCCAGGCGGCTACGCCCAGGCATCGGGAAGACGCGGGAAGACTTCGCCCAGGGGCAAAGCAGCGCAGAGGCCCCAAAGATGGGGGCGCAAAAGACCGACGCCTGGCGTTGTGACCGCGGCGCCTGCATCACCTTCCAGAAGAAGATATGCGGCAGCACCGTCCCAAGCACCAGCGTGCCCGACGCCTTTCCCTGGGGCGGCAGGCGGGCTGACCTGGCCCGCGTCGTCGCCTGGCTTGCGCGCGCCGAGAGCAGGAACAGAAACGGAGGCAGCAGACCCGACAAACCGAAAGGGACGCGGCCGAAAGGCCCTGCGTGGGGCCGACCCGCCTGGGGGCGACGGGGGCGACCTGGCATCCTTCCTGGCGGGCCAACAAGCCTTCGCAGCACGGGCTGCCCCC